AAAATGAGTCAATAATACCGTCTCCGAGAAAGAACTACAAGTCCTTTTATATTCCATACGACTTCGCGGTTACGTATATTACTAAACAACCACTAAATTCGCAATTTTTTGAAATCAAATCACAGAATTAGACTGACAGAAGTGACAGCAGATACTTGATTACTTCAAAAGGATGATGAAGATGCATACAACGCAGGTGTCCCTATTGTTAAAAACTTACAATTTCACGTCGATAATTTTCAGATTTCAAAATAATGTAATATCTTCTCAATATTGATTCGTCCTTTCTTCGGTCACAGAAAAAAATAGTGTATTATACACGAGGAAAATATTAGATTTTGGCTCCGCTACGCGTCGGGAGACAACACAACCTGGAGCTAAAATCCACAACTTTTTTCCCTTGTATAATAAATAACTCGCTTAGCGAGACGTTTACAAAAAGTTTCACCACCCTGGAACCGTATGAATCAGCGTATTTTTTACCAGGAACGACTTCGCACGTGTTGGTTCTTGAAAACTCGAATTCATGTTAGTTCAGTTTTCTATGGTTTCCGGGGAAACAATATCAGTCACATGAAAAAATGCGAGAAAAAATGAGCTGTTTCAAAATTCCATTTGGAAATTATGAGAGGGTCAACTCCAAGTATCTCCTTTTCGAAAATGAAAGGTTTTCCGATCTGTAGAAGTCACGTTGAATTTACTTTCTCCAAAATTCTAAATTTCCTAGATAATTCTGAGTACGGCTCTGGATCAATTTATCGGTTCACTGTGGAAACATTATATTTTATGTTCACGAGTTTATTTCTCCACATAACTGCGGGAACTGTGTTGATCAGCACCAGCCCTAAACAACCCTACAGAAGACCAGAATTTAAAAAAGCTATCGGCAGTGAAAAGTTCAAGTGCATATTACCGCACAGGAGAGTGTGACTTTTCAATCATTTTGCTCAGGATGGTGACTGACACAGGTGCCGTTTGAAGAAATACAATGTTTCTATACATGCCTTTGGAATATACAGCGTGTCTCACTCTAAACGGCCCCCCTCAATATCTCAGTTATGGGATTCCAACCAAATTTGGTGTGGTATGAATAACCATCAATATGATCAGTATTACAAAGATGCACATTATTTTGGACAGTGTCGTGCGTTTTAATTGAACAAAAAGGGGTCGATTTTTCATAAAATCATATTAGGCATTTTTTTTACAGGAAATCTAACCTCATATTATTGTTCCTCGTGCTTTCGAACTCCCATATTCAAAAAATCACCTAATTCCGAATTAACAGGATTGGCTTAATTTTTTTCATTTTCAGTCTGGAATAAATAGTGACTTCAAATCAACTACGAATTTTGGAACGTTCAATGGCTCCTTTTTAATGTTGAACTCACCGTTCCCGAGTAAATAATTATTACGTTCGCAAAAATGCTGTTTAGATGTGCCTGTTTTTCTGAAACTCTTCATAGGCATTTTATGAAAATTCACATATGTGGGTTTGAAACCATGCAAAACAATATTATGAAGTCAGTTTTCCTGTGAAAAAATGCCTAATATGATTTATTAAAAAACTGACCCTTATTCATTTCAATAAAAATGCACGGCACTGTATAAAATGATATTTGTCTTTGAAGAACCGGTCATATTGATGATTGTTCATACCGATACAAATTTGGTAAAGATCGCACGACTGATAGCTGAGATATAGAGGGGGGCCGTTTGAAATGAGACACGCTGTATAACATTTCATTATCAGATGACGGTCGAAATTTGCACCATTTAGAGCCGGCTCTCCTACTATGAGAACTAGTATTGAAAATACCTTCAAAAATTTAAAAAATACCTAGTTCCTTTTCCTCCGTCAGTTTCATCATTTTTCTACAATTTTTATCAGATCCCTGTATGAATCCAAATTGATTTGATTTAACACCGGGAGACGGCTTTTCACGCACGTGTTTTTAAAGCATTCATTGCGGGAGCCCAGCGTTCCCGTCTACATACAGAGTGGGCCATTGAAAACGAAACAGCGGCTCTGTAGGTCTGCAAAAAACCGGATTATGAAAAGAATCTGAAACACGTCAACTACATTTTCGAGGGGGACATCGTTCTTAAATATTATCAGCCCTGCGGCGTTGCCGCTTTTAACGAAAAGCTGCAACAACTTTGTTATTTCAAATGGAACACCTTGTATTTCATTGCATTTTCAGATTCTCCCCAAAGAGCTGATTTCATCAATGCATCACACTTGGGGTCTAGCTACAATGATTTCAGGGATATAGGGTGTTCAAAATCGAGATTTTTCAACTTAAGGATTTTTTTGTGTCGAAACTCTTCATTATTGATCAAAACGGCTTTCATGTCCTTATCTCAACTTTTGATTTACTATCTACTGACATTTAATTGTAACAGATACAGGGTGATCAGAAGTCTAAATCTTGAACCACCCTGTATTTGTTTCAAATAAATGTCAGTAGATAGTAAATCAAAAGTTGAGACAGGGACATGAAAGCCCTTTTGACCAATAATGAATAGTTTCGACACAAAAAAATACTAAAGTTGAAAAATCTCGATTTTGAACACCCTATATCCCTGAAATCATTCCAGCTAGACCCCAAGTGTAATGCATTGATGAAATCAGCTCTTCGGGGAGAATCTAAAAATGCAATGAGATACAAGGTGTTCCATTTAAAATAGCAAAGTTGTTGCTTTTTTTCGTGAGAAGCGGCAACGCCGCAGGGCTGATAATATTTTAGAACGATGTCCCCCTCGAAAATGTAGTTGACGTGTTTCAGATTCTTTTCATAATCCGGTTTTGCTGACCTACAGAGCCGCTGTTTCGTTCGAGGGGTAATCCACTCTCTCCAAAATGTACACGGATTGGACAGATTGGACGTAGGATATTATCGAATATTAAAAATACGAGATTGGACATTCACATTGCGAGAATAGGAATATTGGGCTAAGAATGGACCTTGGATTGGACAGATTTCATCCGGATTGGACACCAAGTGTACACATATTGGACATAGTGGTTGAACCCTCGGTTTCGTTTTCAATGGCCCACTCTGTATATTGATATGTCAAGATGCAAGTAAACATGTCTCAACAGGATTGTGGATGCGGTTTTCATTTTATTCAATATTTCAGTATCGAAGTAGTAGCTGCATCAGTTGGTTGGTTTTTATTTGTTTCAAGTGAATTTAAACAACTATGGCTCGAAAATATCTCAATGACGATCAAATTGAAGAGTTGTTGTATACTAAAAGAAACTTGATTCTGCTTCGCGCCTTGTGATGTTCCACTGTGTATTATAAAATGTTTTGAAAGGTATCACACTGTCAAAAATTATTAAATTCCATTTCATATATGGGAATATTTTCAATTCATTATAGCTGTAAGGAATCGCATTATAACATTTAATTTTAAACAAAGACTATTGAAATAGAACTTATTTTGGGTTGAAATATGTAAAAAAAATCACATTCACAAGTTATCCTGTGGTTGCAGGAGATTCCCCCAACGCTAAATTTTTCCTGTTTTGAGAGCATGACTATAAAAATTTTACACCCAATGAAAGGGTTAATGAAATATGCACCTCTGCATTTCTTGATAATCAAGGATTAAATAGAAGGTAGGTAATGTTTTGAAAAATTACATAAAATGTATTGATGTGTTCAGTAAAATTGGGATCAACACTCAGAATAGGTACTCTGGTCAACCTGAAGTATCCATGTATGGTACCTTTTGCTCTGCAGGTACCTACAACTAAGATTGCTGGTGCAGAGTTTATAGATTCAACCAAACTAACAATTAGGAATCAATAATTATCAATCAACAATTAAGGGGTTTACACATATCTGATTTTAATTATGAATAAAATGTGAAATGTTTTTTGATTAAGGAAATGTATAGACTGCTGACCATTTGGCAAATTATACTCTTTGTTTAGGATGCCGACCAGTGGACTTAAATGATCAAAAAAATTAGATACACTTACACAAACACCTCGACAAACACAGTAACCCATGGGCCAAACAAAAACCTGATCATAAAACTATTGTGAACTAACAATGGAGGAAGGAGAAACTAGATTAGAAAACAATAAAATATAAAAAGAAAGTGATGTATACTCAACCCAAACAGACCAACCAATTAGTGAAACAAAAATCTAATGAAAAAATAAATTGATTGAAAAAAAAAATAAAAAAAAACAAACAAATCCCATGTGGGATTTGAACACAGGACCACTTTCCTGTTGCTGATATATGCATTGATAATCTTAATGATAAAAATCGGCATTCTTGCCTTATGCAGTTTGGACATTAGACCCTCGTGCCAGAAGGTGTCAAATGCCTTCTCACAGGATTGACAACCAAATGTCTAACCACTAAGCTACCAACCATCTTGGATCTTTTTGTCATACAGAATGTATTCAACTGAATGGTCAGCAGTTTAGAGAGGAAGTATATTTTGCTGACTTGGTCAGCAGCCTATAAATACACTTCCTTTGAACCTTTGATTAAAGATCAAAATGATGTTGAAAAGTGATTTCAGTCTACACAATTCATGAATCCTGAATCCATAAAAAATATTCCAATTAAATATCACCAAACTCCACTTGAACAATAACAAATCCAAAATTCATGTTCTGTCTCCAGAATTTCCTGATTCTTAGTTGTTTAGTTGAAAGTTGGTGAATTTGGTATTTCTTGATTCAAATGACAGATGTAAATGTATAAACCCTCATAGTTGTTTCCTTGTATTCAACTTTTTGAGATTATTGTTGTTAGTTTGATTCTAAGTTTAGTTGCATCCATGAACCCAGCATGGGCCTTATCACTGGGAATGTTAAGATGAATAAAATTCTTTCAACTGACCATTATACTATAGGTACATGATTTGAAATTGATGCCTCATCTATTCAATAATGATAAACCAATGTTTGGGTTGAAATAACTATTCAATATTATGATGAAAGGAAATGTAAAAACTACAGGACTTGCCTTCCATTCTGGAGGTTCACTGACAGAGTCGAAACGGTACAGTTTTGCCCGAATATTTAGAAGCACCGTTTCATTTTCCTCATTTGTGGTCACTTCCACTTCGGGCAATGTGATGATAGGTTTGAACTGAGGATCAAATTCAGTATCACTGCCTTCGCTCTGTCTGCGATCTTTCTCCGGGCTTGCTTCCTGAAATTAAAAACATCAGTGAAACAAAAGGCCTCCTGAACATTATTGAAAATAATTTTGTAAATATTATTGTACTCACAATTATCTCGCCCTCACTCATCCTCATTCACGCTTCACACACACCCTATTTTATAAAATTATTCAGAACTTCTATCAATGCTTCTTGCAATCCAGTATATTGATACCATTTTTTGACAAGTTGCCAACCAAATGAAAATATAGCGGATCCATTACGTGCAGTCAACGTAATTTCCGAGTGACGGTCTGTGACGGAGTTTTCCGTTGGAACATGAGGCGTTTTTCATAAACTGACATCTGTCAAGCTTCACATGTACCGTGACGTCAACATAAGGTTTGTCTGGTTATGTTCGAGGAAAAATTACTTATGTTTACTTTGGGCGGTTTCGTTTTGTACTTTCGTACTTACCAACAAGTCGCCAACCTTTAGGACAATCTAGTACTAGTATCGTAATCTTGAGTACAATGTTCTTATGCCAAAAGAACACATCCACATATGTGAACAACTCATTGGTGGAGAAGTGCCTAAATCTTTCGAACCATTCCCATCACGTGATATTTTGGGATTCCTGTTTTTCGATGTTTTTTTGCATTCAAATTGTGGAGGTTGGGTATATGGGTTGGGTTTGGTCAGCAAGTTTCATTCTGGTCCACTTAGCATGGCGTTGGCCCACTGTGATCATTTTGTGCAGTGATTCAGGCTTCCAAGGGTGATTTTTCAGTTTTTCTGCCAGCAAATGCGCTGTGCTGGGACCAATCTGACAAGAAATTAGGAAATGGTTCGAAATCTTTAGGCTCGTGGTGACAACTGACAGCTGTCAGTCAATATTTATTATTGTTTTATCGTGAATGTTTTGGTGGCAAATCGGCTCGATTCATAATCAGATTTTTGTGAAAATAAGTATTTTCAGAAAAAGCAGAATGAGATTTCCACTGACTTTATATTGTGTACTACTTGGATTCGTAATCAGTGTGCATTCTACAGACGCTTGTAAGGGTTGTGTAAACTTAGATGAATATAACTTCCACAAAATTATCTCGAGGTTTGATGCAGTTCTAGTTAAATTTGACGTGGCTTTTCCCTACGGAGATAAACACGATATTTTCAATAATTTAGCTACGGAAATAGTGGATAATAGTAATTTCATCTTAGCACAAGTAGGTATAAAAGATTATGGAGAAAAGGATAATGAAGGTCTTGGCAAAAAGTTTGGTATCAACTCTAAAGAAGATTTGCCAGCCCTTAGGTTGTTTGTGCAAGGAGAAGACGAACCTTTTTCCTTTGGTAAAAATGCAGTATGGGCAGATGATACCTTGAAGAAGTTTGTACGTGATCATACAAATATCTATTTGGGCTTACCTGGCTGTTTGGAAGCATTTGATAAGCTAGCCATGAAATTCAGTGCACTCACTAGTCCTACAGATAAAGAGACAGTCCTCAAATTGACTGAGAATGAAGTTGCCAAATTAACTACACAGGTACATATTACCTCTATAGTGTGTTTATAAGAAATCTGTAACATATATGATATGCTTAAAAGTATATTATCTTTTTCAGAGGGAACATGATATTGCCAACACATATATCAAATTCATGAATAAGGTTATGGAGAATGGAGCATCATTTATAGCACAGGAGATGAATAGGCTTGGTAAAATAGTTGGAGGAAAAGTTGCTGATAAGAAGAGAATAGAACTGACTAATAGACTCAATATTCTTAAATCATTCCATTCCAATACAAAGAAGACTGAGCTATGATGGCTGTGGATATTTTATTTGTATGTCATTGTTTTTGTTAGTTGTTGTGTCTACTTTTCAGTATCTTCAAAGAAGGTGAAGGAAATTTAGTTTGAATGGGTTTTGTGTATCACCTTATTATACATGTTTTGCAGTTTTATATGTATTGATATCTTTTTGTGATAAATCAAGATGGAACTCTAACTATATATAGCTAGTATTGAAAATATTGAAAGGGATGATTACATGGTATCACACAAATATGAATTGATTTTATTTTCCAAGGTGGTGAATACACATAACTAAATTATAATGTTTTACCAATGGAAAATAGAATTGAATTTGAAGGAAGCATACATCTCTGGTTCTACTTATTGTTCCTTAGGTAACCATTTGTGCATTTGATTTCTCCATTGTTTGCTAAATATGGAGAAAAAAATCTAGTGATCTGGAGTTACAGCTCACTAATTTTCTCCATATTTAGCAGACAATGGATTTCTCACAGAACAGGTGTTCATTTATATTTGTCATTCAGTAAGTAGGTACACAATATGTTCAGAGTATCCAGAATTTATGGGGAATGTATAATCTCTGAGATATCTGAAAGTGTTTATAGACAATGTGAACACATCATTTGGCTAAAATATGTGGATAAACATGTTTACTACAATTCAAATGTTGATAGTTTTCAGAATAAAGGGTTTTATAGCTTTTGAATCTGCTCTCACAAAATTTGACAGGGTTGTGATCTGGATAAAGTGGGAGTGGGAAAGGGAGTTATGAGAAGTTTCAGTAGTCTTTATTATAACATTTAAATTCAAAACTTCAAAACGGCACCTTCCATGAATACATTCTTTGAACAAGATATGATAAGGAATAAGATCTCATAAGTTATGAAGCTTTTTAGATATAGGTGCAGTGCTCCTCTGGTGGTGCCCTCAGCAATGTGCATGGTCATGGTGCCAAATTTCATGATGCTAATTGAATATTAGATAATGATATTTTAGCCTTTAAATCCTGGATTATCATTTCTGAACTGTCCTTTTTCCATTCTATCTACTCACTAGAACTATAAAATGCACTGATGATGTACCTATATTAGGCAGGAACATATACATATTATGATGAGCTGATTAATGCTTTATGATTTAATTAAAAGTAACTGTGTAATACCTGGATATACCTATCTATGTTCCATATTTGAAAATAATATAAAAATCCTTTTTTTGAATATAGTTGGCAATCAAAATGTTAGACTACTCTTTTTTCTACGGCCATATAGCACAAAATTTTTCTTGTTCCATTGTGTTCAATCAATCACCGAGATATTTTTGTATGTCATCATAGTATCAATTTTATTTCTGTATCTGATATCACAATGTTTTCATTGTGTTATTATTTCACAAAATCTCAACTCCCATGAAATGTAAAATTTTATGCAATGTTATGTGATGTTTTATTGAATATACAAATCAGTCAAATTAGAATTTTCAATGTACAGGAAACCTTCTTCCAATGAGATAACATCATACCATATTCCATTACTTTCATCTTTTCAATCATAAATTGGCTGATTTTCATGCTTTTCACCATTCCTTTAAACAACCATCGTTTTGACGCAGAATTCAATAATATTTAACAAATTGCTGTTAATAATGACTTCCCCATCCCTCTGATTAATAAACTCTACATCAGATATTTGAACAAATTTTCCAACCATTTCTTGACCAATCATAATATGAACCTCCTACAACCAATAAATTTTGTTTCCTCAATTTATTTTTGCTCTGTTTCACTCATGATCAGAAACATTCTCAGTAAGAAGCGGGGGTGATAGTTCAGTTCAATATATCTTTTCATTCAAAACTTCAAATAATCTCAGAGGTGCCATAGTCAATATCAACGATTCCATTCCTGATTTGGGCAAATCTGGTGTCTAACCTTTTGACCTGTTCCGAACAGGATGGTAGGGTGTGTTACATTAGCCAGGCAGGCCGCAGATTCAGAGCTAGGAGTACTGAACATGTTCGTACCATTGATATTAATTCTGAAAAAGATTTCCTTAATTCCAATTCTGTGTTTCCTAACCACATCGTTATTTAATGAAAAACTCAATGGTTCCACTTTTGTCATAAAAGCAAAAAAAATGAAATTACTTGAAGATCTCAAAATTTATAAAGCCCTGAAAAATCCTGAAATGACATGCAATTATGAACATACCTACTCACTTATATTCGAAATTGATTGAATATAATTCGTAGCAGGAATGAAAAACTTATCACCCATTGCTGGTTTCTGGTCTGGTTTCCTCTTCTGTACAATTTTTTGGTCGATTAATAACACTTCGCTTCTTAGATCTTGAACATAGTTGGTATTATGAGTAGGTATCTCAAATTTAAAATATATTGAGATTCGAAATCATGAAAGTTATTTACATGGAATAAGAAACTGAAATATTTATATGAGAACTTTTTCGAATTCCGTTGCTGAAACGCGTTCTTCGATTACCCAAAAAATGAACTGGACAGCCCACAATCTTGTCCCTAATAAGAAACACTGGATATACCTATAATGGACCCATTAGGCGCCTACCCCGGTTGCAAGGAGGGTTTACCGCTGCCAAAGGTTTGATACTCTATCCTCGTAAGGGTACCGGTCGTGTCTCCATTGAGACATAGAGGTAACGATCGAAAAATGTTTTATGGTAGGTATATCGCCTCTTCCATAACAAATAGTGAATTTTGAAAAATTATTCGAAATAAAGGGAATATAATACGAAACAGGAATGGGAAACTCATTACCGGTCGCTGGTTTCTTGTCTGGTTTTCTCTGCTATGCAATTTTTCTGTTGAGCTCAAATGGTTTATTTATCACACGGTTTTTCTTGTGTGATGTGCTGAATATGAATAAGAGGACCATCGAAAAATACCCTTTTATATATCATCAACTTCCATAATAATGAAAGTACCTTATTGATAAACATTGTTCAAATGGCTATCGTTCGAAGCCCTTCTGCCAACAACATTCATAAAAAATATAAATTTTGAAGACATGATCGAAATTAATTGAATTTCTGTGAGTGATACAATGAATATGAGAATAATAAACATCATGACGAGATATGAAATAGGAATACGTAAAGAAACCTCGAAAGAAACTCACCATTGTGGAACATACAATTTCTTCTCTCATCATACTACAAATACAAATACTTTTCGTGAACAGTCCTGTAACAAAATAAATTAAAGAATTAAATTATTATCGATATAATTATACAAGACTGAGTACAATACAATATTTGCGTTCCGTTTCGTGAGAAATTCAATTCCGAGCACTGATCACTGATCTCACTCCACACTATATTCCTCAATTATTACGATTATATTGAGGTTGAATAGTTGAAGTCGCAGAGTGACTCATTGGGATACGATTATTATCAGTAGTAATACTATAACTACTTTGAAATATTCGGGTTATACATCGATAACTTGTTGCATAATTACAAAGAGCGTCAGCTTGACAGTTGAAATAATCCGACCGCGGAGCGGGAGGATTATTCTGTTAAACCGACACGATTTGTAATCATTGACTGAAAATGTTATAAAAATCGATTTATCGAAAAAATTAACGATTTCATTTTTTCCTGACTGATAGTTTTTCGTCTTATTTCTCAAGCAAGTTTCATATATTATCATTGCTGAGTTCATAATTTGAAATGCGTAAGAGCGAAAAAGCAGCCGGAGGAACACTTATAAGTCAAATGGGATCATCATCATTGGTGGTGGCAGTATATATCAATCCCGAAACTGACAGAGAAAATAGTGAATCTGAAATAGATATTTGGAAAAATACTGCAAATCGGCCAGAAGATATAACAGTGCCCGATTAATGTCCGTTCTCCCCAAATTAATTTTTGAACCACCATATCGCAACGAAATTTGGAGGGCTTAAGTAGGAGAAGAAATCCTACTCTTTCGCGAAAAAACAACAGCTCAAAGTTTTGAAATGATGGCTGGGCGCCAACTTGAATTTTATTTTAATGGAACAGCTCGTATATATCGGGTGGTCACAAAAAAAAGAAGTTTTTATTTTCCTCGTGGTTTCATCATTTCTCAACCGAATTCGAATTACTTGGCGTCGCTTCATAGCTAAAGGGCTATAGTATACAGTGAAATATTTGAAAATTTCATGATGAACAAAAACAAAATGGCGGATTCTACCAAAGTATTGTCATTTACAAAAACCGCTGGAGAAAAATAAAATCAGATTTTTTTCAACCTGTACCGATGTCATCTTAGGCTATTCATTTCTGAAGAGAATGAGTACTCGAACATCGAAATCGAACAAATAGTCCAGTAGATACACTCATTTCTTTGCAATTTGTTATGGAGTGAATGTCGTGCTTATCTCGTATAAACGATTATAATTATTTTGATTCAGGCTCCATGAAAATTCAATCGAATTTGAATTTTTTAGAGTTATTTCAAAGATAAAGAACTGTAGTACACAATGGAACATTTGAAAATGCAATAATTGAAAGAAACAAAATGGTGGGGAATCCAGAATTTTTGTGATTCACCCCTTGAATTTTTTCGGCGTCATTTCGATACACCCTGTATATTTTATATTGATTCACAGATAATCATACCTGCGTGCTGCGTGCATATAATATTTACTACTTCTAATGCCTGCGTGTGACGGCGGACGGCGTAACGAAAATTATTTCTCTGTCACACTCATTGAGCGAATATCTTCGTGATCGTTTGAAATAACTCTATCAAACCCGGTATATAGCCCCTTACCCAATATGGAATAAAATACAGGGTGTTCCATTTCATAGGTTACGTGTAAGGATAGTTTTATACTAAACTTTCGCCTAATAAATGATTATTTGAAAATATTAAATTGATGTCATATCCAGTAGAAGCGGAAGATGAAACAAAATCATAAAATGTGAGATTGTGCCCTCTAGTGAGCGTATGTCCCAAATTTCAGAGATATAGCTAGAAAAACAAAGGAGAAAAAGGAAGAGTACATGAGTTTGTGTCACCCGGTATTAGTGAAGAAAGCGAATGTAAACATAAAAACACTTACCAGCTTGAAAAAATACAATTTTCACCGAGATTTTCACACACTCAAATGAAAAAGCAATCACTAAACCGAATATGAATTCTAATTTTCTACTCTTAAATAATTCAAGTTCTTTTTTATATCACTCTTGAATCGACCGCACACGATGAAATCTATAACCAGACTGCTGTTGGGTTTGATTCACAATTCTAATGACTAATTCGTTACGTCATTCTTTCAACCGAATGATTCCCGAACAAGTATGACTAAATCCGATAATATCGATAGTAGGTATACGGGGTGGGGTGAAAAGACATTTAATATACATTGTCACCGTTGAAGTTCGTATAATATGTGTTTTTATTCAGTTTGTGCAAATCAGGACAGTTCTTATTTTGGAAATACTTTGAAAATGAAGTTCATGATTTTTTTTTTCAATCGATAGTTATCGAATTAGACATTTTCTGTCAGAAAATACAAAGTCAAAAAATTTATTTTTCGAATATAAACGATTTTAAAGAGGCACATAAATTATAAGCTGAAAGAACATAGGGGACATCTGAGAATTGAAAAAAAAAGTATACCATTGAAAAAACTATCGAGAAGTTAGTTTATTATGATTATTATCTCAAAGACAGAGCAAATTGAAATAATAATCGACCTATTTTGACCTATTTCAATTACGATTTTATAAGTTTTTATATTGGAAATAATTCGGTAAAATGTATACAGAGTCACCAACAATCTAGGGTTATTTATGAACCGTTTCCGTATGGTTCTCGATCTCCTGAATAATTTATGAAAATGACAATATTTTCGATTTACAAAAAATAACTGAAACACCACAGGGTGAAAAATGACAACGTGCAAAGTAGATCAAAAGGTTTCCCGTTAGTAGACATATTTTTTTCGACAATTATAAATTCCGAATCATATTCATATACTGTGTATCGTATATGTGTACACTCCTACTCCCGTTTCTTAATTCTGATGTTTAATGGCTCAAAATTCGTGACTTCAATATCACCACCAAATATACATGAAGAAAAATTTATTGTTGATTTCACAAATCTTCCTTACACCTACACTGAAAATACATGCTTGCAATATTCGTAGAAATGGTGGAAGTATTTCCTGTGGTAGTAGTAGAAATTAACAGCAGAATATATATTCTTTTAAATTATATTCTCAAGTGATTTTCTGAAAAATATACTTTCTAGGAAAAAGGTTCATTTAGGCATAGTTAGGATAGATTGTTTAGATGAAGTAGGCTTCTTTCTTGTGCCGGAAGGATATTTTCCTTACTCACATTTGAGATATACTATAAATATTCAGGCTGAGATAAATCAGATTATTTAGAAAAAGGTAGTCTCCTCTCTTAAGCAGTAGGGATATTTTCCTTCATTGAATTATCAGCAAATTAGGCTGAGTTAGGTTGGATTTTTCCAGATATTTTCCTTCGGTATATACAGGGTGTTTCTCAATTGAAAGTCAATATGTTGGAGTAGGCAATTCTTGGGCCCATTCTAAGAAGAAAGTTTCATATGAATGTATGACCTAATCGTCCTAACTTTTTGAGATACAGGGTGGTGAAGTTCTCAAAAATTAATATAGCCTACTACAATGAAAAGTTATAATTTCAAAATACCAATTAGGCATACGAAGTTCATAAACTATGAATTGTACTTCTGAAATTCGATCTGAAATAAAATCTATTCCTCGCATTGTGATATTGTCATATTAACGATATTGCTATAATCATGTAGTGAAAAGCTTTTTATTTTTTTAAGTGAAAACCGTGCATCAGATTAAAAAAATTGTCGTGATCGAATTTGCTCAGAAATTATTGTGAATTTCAGGAATTATTTCAATTTCGAGATTAATCAGTGGCGTACCATCAATGTCTGCCAAAATAGTTATGTGAAATTCCATACGAACGCCACTGGTGACAACCAAAAAAATGTGGTACACTAACTGATGTCTCTTGATACATAGTACATGAATGCCAAATTTCATTAGAATATCTCAAGTGGTATTACAGTTAGGACGTTTATAGGTCATACGTTCATATGAAACTTTCTTCTTAGAATGGGTCCAAAATCACCTTCCGAAATATTGACATTCAAATATGAAGCACCCTGTATTATTTCTACCCATAAGTATTTTGTAAAGTAGGTATCTATACATTTTGGTAAAAATGTTTATTCATGAAATATTCATAACAAGCTATAAGAATATCTACAGAGGGTGTCCGGATTACATCAGCGTTAATTTTGTAATGAAAAATAATGTTGAAAATAAGTTGAAATTATTGCTGATAAAACTTGAACCATTCGAACTTATCATATTATAGGCACTATTTATTATTTTTGTACAATCGGACTTGTTCTTCTTGAGCTTCTAGGAATGATTTAACTTGTCTCCAACGCTTCTGAGTATCCAAACTCAACTGATCCATAGTAGGCAGATCACCTCCAAAATCAGCAGGCATGCAATGGGCTGGAATGTGTTTTTCGAAAAAATCCTCCATGTCAGTTTCTGGAGGATGCGCGATTATCTGAAAATTATAAGGTTGATTTGACGTTGAATCTCTAGAGATTTTTTCACACTGTATTGCTTTATAAAGTATCCTATAGAATATCCGTCTCTTAAAAAATACAACACACTATTATGAACTAATGAAAGTGACAAATTTCAGACGTGTAACGAGTAATAACTAATATAGGGAAAATACCCCAGGCCCGGATTAGAAATTTCGCCGCTTTAAGCAGCACATATTTCCCCCCGCCTCGTACAAATGTTTCGTTAGGTTCTACTTTCTCACATCATATTGTGGAAGAACATACATATATTTTCAAAAAATAGGCAATAACTCAAATAATATATAGGTTACAGATCATATGTTGTTAAAACATGAATAAAATATTGAATAGAAGAATTGCTTGAACATATAATTTTTTCTTCAAATTCGTTCCAATTTCATATGAAGTCCAAACAATCCAGCATTTTGTGCCGGAGTTCCCCGTGGTGTTCCGTGACATTTCTGTGACATTTCCGTGTTGATCCGTCACGTTTCCGTGACATTTTCGTGGTGAATCATCCATTTTAGGACATTTGAAGTTATTGAAAAATCCAGGTCCGTATTTAAAAAAATTAAATATGATGATGACAGCTCAAAGACGAAACATCGCTTTGAAAATCTGATTACACCATTATGTAGAATAGGAAAAGTAGCAATGAGAATGTGTAATTTGTTTTGCTACATCTATTTATATAGAATCTTCGGAAGTATTCGTAATTTTTCAAATTTCAGAACCGTATCTTCATAGTCATAAAATTGCGAAACTTTGCCCCTATTCAACCCTCTTTGTAGCTCTTACCGTTTTTGAGATCCCCATGCATCTCCCCAATTTCTACTCACCCGGTAATCATCATTTCACGCAGAATGTAACCTATACATATCATTGAAAGATAGATGTATAGAAAATCAAATGTTGTTATCACTTCGTATTGAAAGGAGTTTCGAGATATCTCGATATCGTCTACTTTGTAAAAATAGCGAGGCGTGGGAGAATCTTGCTGAATTTCTGGAGTTTCAAACCAAATACACAGGCATCATGTCACATTCATTCGAGTTCAGATTTTCATTTTGACAATTTTTTGTTTAAATGGAAATGGTGCATCATATTTTCTACTCTCAATGGTGAATTCATAAAAGACACAAAGTCCTAACTGAAGAAAATCCAGTGATAATAGTTTATTTGCTCACTTTTGGTACATAAAATAAAACGAATGTTCGGATTTTCAAATAATCCTCACGACGCGTCTGAACTGCCATCCTGCCTTTTTTCACGAACTTTTGTCTAATTCACAAGTGAAGGGGCAAGTGAAAGAAGGGGTCAAGTAACATTTTCTGGAAATATTCGGTTATGTCATGTAAGAAGGTGTTACGTGCATATTCAACTTGTCCCGTCAGGATTTGTTTCTATTCTTCATATCTGAGCAGATACACAGTGGCAGAAGGGGCTATGTTACATTAAACATCAAGGATGCAATGGAAGGAGGAGCTATGTGCCCATTGCTTACATGTCAGGATATGAAAGAAGGGGTTATGTACGTATAGATATCTATCAAGAAACGATATGATAGCAAAATGTTGTAAATCATAAAAAATCAACCTGAAACTATTCCTCACAATTGCATAAATCCGATTATCAAACTAGCTTCCATTAAAAAATGCCAGGCTAACTTTACTAAGACCTGTTTTTCTCACAAATTCATATTTGTAACAAAACTCCTTCTTCCACTTGCCCCTTCATAATTATGCAACTGTAAATTAGAGTCTCACAGTCTCAGTTCTCACAATTTTTCACCAGACCGCCAGATATAGGCAGCATTCATTCTTCGATAGCACGCGATTCGCTGAGACTGTGAGACGCTGATTTACAGTTGCAACATAGCACGCGATGCGCTGAGACTGTAACAGTTGCAACTGTAAATAAGGCAAATGTTCGTGAAAAAAAAGTTTTAACAGGATGGCAGTTCAGACGCGTCGGCGTATCATACATTGCAGCAGTCAGTCCAAGCACAATACACTCAACTAAACTAGTAATATAATATCAATACCTGCTTCATAAACTACTAATGCTCTTAATTTATAATATTTCTATTTGAAATTTGAAAAAAATCTTTAATGTGCGGAAAACATGCATTACACTCGTAATAGATATGTCAAGATCAAGATGATTCCGCACGGATTATTTGTTGCGTCCTGTCTCTTTTGAAACCTGTCTCTAGATGATTCTCATCAGCTATTATTGAAATCGTGTATCATCAATGGACTCTTCAGGTCCATCGTTGAAAGTCTAGTTCAACTTCATTATAAGATTAGAAACCATTTTGAAATTTTTCGAAAAATTGTTCATCGTTCACGCCATCTATCATCGAAAATGAGAACCCTACGTTCCGAACTCGCATTCAATTGTTCATATCGAGAGCTAGTCTGACGAAACAATTGAACAGTGGGCACACCAGAGGAATTATAAACCTCTCAATTAAAAGGATCACCGTGTAACTATGGTCATACCAAATCGAACAACTCCTTTTTCATGAAAGGCTTGGCAATGGCCAGTATTTTCTCAAAAATGTACGATGCGTTCAGAATATGAACTCTGACGAGCTGAGTCGGCAGAGCTTCTTGGAGGTAAGCGAAGAATTTTCGTAGCGGACCAAGTTTCAGCCTGGTCAAATGCATGATACCCACCTGAAAATAACAAGCATTTTAGTACCCAGAATCTAGGTAGGTATGTATACAGGGTGTCCGGAAATTATGTGCAAAAATCAAAGGAGTGATTCTACATGATGAAATAACAAATTAATTTTATATGTAGGTGGGTCCGAAAATGCATAGTTTAGAGTGTGTAGAACTTTTTGAAAAAACTCGGTTTTTCATGAATATCTCAAATTTTCTTCCTACAATTTTCGTGAAATTTGGCAATGATATTTTTTGTCATGAGGGGCTGATATAGGCATACTTGAATTGGAATTATGAAATCCAGTGGCGTCCCGGGGGGCAACCTACCGAATATTATTGTCAATAAAATGTGCGCCACTGAAAATTTTGAATTCCGTATCTTCATAACCTATTGAACAAATAAAAATACGACAACATTCGTGTTTCCAGAATTGTTTCGATATTTTGCTTCATTTCCATGAAGATAAATAAACACCAATTTATTGCATAAATTTGTTCCAAAAAATTTCTTCAAGAACTGAAGGGACGCCACTGAATTTTACAATTCCAATTGAATTATGACTTTATCAGCCCCTCATGAACAAAAATATCATTTGCAAATTTCAAGAGAATCGGTGGAAGGATATTTGAGATATTCATAAAAAAAACCTGTATAGGATGGTTCAGATATTTGAAAATTGAATTCTAGAGAGTGATACGAGGCAAAATTCAGCCAAGACAGTTGATTTACTTTGCTGCCATGTGAAACATATAACTTGTTCTCCAAATGTTATATAGAAACAATTTTGTGTAGTTTTTTATTGAAAACTCCATCATTTTGTGTCTACCCAATGTCAGTGTCAAATTTGATCACTAATTTCATTCAAATTACTTCGAATGTTGCACATCTTCAAACTTTTTCAGCCTTGGCCTTGGCAGAGGAAGTACACCTTTGCTGCCTGTTAAACGTCATAGAGAAGTTACTTTCTATGCCGTTTGGAGAAAATAGTAGATTGTTTTATTAGGATCAAAATTGACACATTCTTTGACAAGCGAATTTTGCGTTTGCGAGGCAGACCGTCAGCGAAGACGAGCGAAACCAAATTTTGCGACAGTGCGTCCGATTGTTCGAGTCATATATTATTATACACACACTGGCACAATTAGGGGAACGGGCAAAATTTACACTAAGTTTGACATCAATTTTCTTTCGAACCGATCGCTCGATTCAAATTTTTTTCTTCACGAAATGTAGCTTGATTCTTCACGAATACATCTGAGAAATAATAACCTTCAAACGATGAGTCTTTCCATCATATACAGGGGTGTAAAGAAAGTACGAATTTTTCGGTATTTTTTTAGACATCCTGTGAACTGAACCACTGTTAATTGAAGCGATTTCTCAACACCAAATTGGAGCCCAATCTATTCCGAATATTTTCGTTGATTATTCATCTTGATATCTCAATTATTCAAGAAAATACAGAGTTTCAAAGGAGAGGTGGATATTGGTATCAATTTTACACCTCAAAACTCAAATTGGATCTGAAAATGTGTCGTTTCTTGACTAACCTAACCTAACCATGACTAAACCTCTGCCATAGGAGACAGAAGCAGTAAAATCAAATTGTTTATTTTGTTCACCTCGGCGATATAGTCTTTCCCTGCCATCTATTGAATTGGTGCAGATGCGGCTCTCATATGTTAAAAGAACATTGGCCCACTGGTCATTTTCAATTAATGCTACAGCCCCCGCCACATCAGTAGGAGTCAAATCTCTCACGTTGAATTTTCATTAATCAAATTTATGAATTGTGAATCGCTTGACTTTGACAATAATTAATGACATTAACAAAATAGCCAACGTTGATTAACAAAAATAGCATTTCACCAAATGAACATTGGAGCAACTTTTATCACCCCTGCATATTCATGAGAGTATTCGTATTCGTGTCTTTAAACAGTAAACCGTAAGGTAAAACTGTGAACAATTCTCATCTTGAAGTAAAAATCCTCACAGAAACAAGTTGAAAAACGACACGTTCTCCCCAGTTCGAGTTCCGAGGTGGTAAAATGAATACCAATATCCACCTCTTCTTTGAAACTCTATATTTTCTTGGATAATTGGGATATCAAGATGCATAGAAAACGAAAATATTCGGGATAGATTGGGCTATAATTTGGTGTTGGAAAATCGTTTCAATTATCAGTGGTTCACTCCACAGGATGTCTTAAAGAATACCGAAAAATCCGTACTTTCTTTACACCCCTGTATATGATATAAAGACGAATCGTTTGGAGGTGGTTATTTCTCAGATGTATTCGTGAAGAATGAAGCTACAATTCGTGAAAATCAAATTTGAATCGAGTGATTGGTTCGAGAGAAAATTGATGTCAAACTTAGTGTAAATTTTACCCGTTCCCCTAATTGTGCCAGTGTGTGTAGTTGGAAACAAGATTCAGAAACGGATGTAAATTGTAAACGCGCAAGAAATTATTGCCGCATTGATGAAATAAACCTCTGGTGTACGCACTTCAATCATTTCGTGTTTTGCAATTCCTTGATTTTCTCCAACTTCGATAAACATAACATGACGTGAGTGAATCTCGCTAAGTTTAGTCTGGTGCTGCACGAAAATTACAGGCATCAATGTGTCAATTTTGCGATGTTGATCATAAGCTCTACCTACCTTGAGCCGCACTAGGAATCACGCCATCTAACATTTAATATGTGAACCCCACGTCATCGTCTGAAATTCAATTGTTTATATCGAGAACCAGTCTGACGAAACAAATGAAGAGTGAGCGCACCAGGTTTATTTCATCGATATTGCCGCTATAAAAACCAAAATGAATCTAGTTGGGGGTCGAAGACAACTTTGAATGTTATGTACATTTTTTAAAGCATTTCAGTGAATTCCATTCATCCCTTCAATATTAGTGACTATGTCTCAATCACTTAAGAGTTATTAAATGTGATGACTGTCATTGTAATTATGGAATAATCATTTGGTCATAATATCACGGGACAGTATGTACCTATGTACAATGGATAATAACAAAATATTCGAAATATTAGGCGCATTCACCATTACTAATAAAATTACTCTAGGATTTGGCGAAGGAACAGATGATATTCAATGAAACAAAAGGATAATGAATTACTTATCGTTTTCCGTGAAATAAAGTTCTTCAGATCCGATTGTATTATTGAACTGCTCAAAGCTATCAAGCAACTAGGAGAAATGACAGTTCACAATCTAGAATTTATATGAATGGTGTAATCTTTAATTTCCACTTTTTGGTGAATGATCTGCGGCGCTGGTGTGTATTACATTTTCAAAAAGTGGTTGTTCATTTTTGCTGCCAGTTTTTTTGGAGCTGTCATGAAGAGTTTTTCTGTTTGAAATTTTCTCCACAATAATATTCGATAGGAGTCATTTCAACACGTGGTACATATAACCCTTGATTATATACACTAGTATACTCAAAGATATAACTTAGACATCATATTATGTTACGATGGAAACCCTGATGTGATCGTGATATTTATACTTACCCCTTTTATATTGATGATAAAAATTAGTCCATTTGGAGGATCACTATGAAGAAAGACATCAATTAGGGCGAATGCTGCCTTGATTTGCGATTCAATATTGAAGTTGTAATATGTGGTATCTTTCAACGATCCCATCGCTATGACATAATTTTCTTTCGTTCGTTTGGGAAATACGACAATGTGCCTGAAAAAAATTGTTCATTCTCACCAATAAGTAAACTGAAATTTTACAGTATCATTCATTGAGAATGGGCAATCTCTGAATTACAGATAGTAAATACCAAAATATGAAGGTTTAGCCCAACATGCCTTGTGATGATGTTGCTGACTTAGAAGATACAAGGCTTCAAGAAAAAGATTTTATTTTGAAATTTCTCAATAACTTTGTAAGTTTCAATAGCATGTACATAAAATTTGGTAGTTTTGAGAGTTCTGACATGAGAAATACGAATCTTCTTTGCCAATTAAATAATGGTTGAAATAAGTTAAACTACAAGTTTTCTCAATTATGGTGCGATTCATTTCAAAATTGGTATCTAGGGGTTTTCGGGGTCGGAGAATATGATTCTTTCGTCAAAATTTGGAAATTTGAGGTGGCGGATCCAATATGGCGGACGAGTTCTTAAATTATAATCCGATTCCATTCAAATTTTGTATCTAGAGGTTTTTGGGGTCGGAGATTATGATTCTTCCGTCAAAATTAGGAAATTCTAGATGGCAGATCTAATATGGCGGACGAGTTTCGTGATCATGATTTGATTCTATTCAAAATTGGTATCAGGTGGTTTTCGTGACGGAGATTATAATTCTTTCGTCAAAATTTGGAAATTCAAGATGACGGATCCATTATGGCGGACGACTGTTGTAATTATGGTCAGATTCTATCAGAATTGGAAACTGGGGGTTTTCGAGGTCGAAGATTATTCCTTCGTCAACATTAAGAAATTCATAATAGTAGATTCGATATGGCAGACGAGTTTTCTAATTATGATCAGATTCTATTCCACATTGGTATCTAGGGGTTTTCGGAGTCGGAGATAATGATACGTTCATCAATATGAAAAATGTCACTAATGTCAGTAACATGGCTTCTGGGTGATTCTTAGTAGTTTCCGGATGAATGATGATTTCGCGAACTAAGTTATCTTCATTGCAAGAGAAATGAGAAATACAGTCGACGGAAAAATTTTGTAACCAACTCGTATATTAAAAGGCGATTATTGATCTCGAACATTAACGCGCTTGCTTTGCTCGCACGTTAAAATATCTCGACCATTACTCGCTCTCATTAATACACTAGTTGGTTAAAGAACTATTATCATAGATGAAAAACAAGTAAAACAACCATCTTTCACCAGAATTTTCATTAACAATTCGGAGAAAATGATCGAAATTATCATACCATTAGCGTCACGACAAGGTGCTAATCTTTTTATTAGATTACGATGCACACGTGGTTAAATGCTTGGGTTGTTTTTAATTGTCTGAAATCCTTCTTCAATTCAAAGGATCATAGCTCCCTGCTTAGGAAGAAATTTCGAAGGAACTTTTTGCCTTATTATCATGCAACGAATACGCTCCTGAAAGAATGCCACTTACTTTCGAATCACCCTGTATATTTGCCACGAGAGGATTCTCATCGTTACCGTTTTACTGAGCTAATAGGCAATTGTCACTTACGCAACCTTATGTGTGAACTGATTTTCCTTGTTGTCTACATCTCTATCTGCGAAAAGCTCAGGTGACGCATGTTTTTGTTTGAAGTAGCTCTCTATGGTGATCTGAGTGAGCTCTGTGACGTTTTTGCAAGCTATCAAAAACAAGACTATTTGTTCGTCGGACATTGGAGGAATGTTCGTAGTGTAGTTCAGCCATTTTCTTATTTCTTCGATTTTCGATTTCGTAGTTCTGCCTTCTTTTATCAAATCCTCAGCTTTGAAACCATATTTGGGAATCACTGATGTCATTATTCAGTCTGAAACTAATCAGAATTGAAGTGAATTTAGAAACTTCACAAACGATTAGAATTCCAGGATGTATGACAAATTGATATTCATCATACAGGACGTGGAAAGATGAATGAGAAAAATAACAAGTTTCCATCATGGTTCAAGTTTGAACCCCTTGATTGGGTGAAAGTATTGAAAATTAATATAAAGATGAATTATGAAAATGATAAAATGATTATAGTGTAATGATATTTCTCTTAGAGCGGCTCTAGCAGAAACATCATCAGTAAGACAGGAGTACAACGATCATCCTGTAACACGCATTCCAGATTGTTCTCCTACCTCCCAATGATTCCTACATACACCAGCATATTTCCGAACACTCAATATATGCCGCAGTGACAAATAACGTGGCAGAAGATTCTGGATGTTCTGGAAACAGTGGAAACAATCGATGGAACAATTAGAGAGAGGGGCTTTGTTCTAAGAAGCTTCTAGAACAAGAAGAAGGAGACGGAAGATCATTCGAGAACGATCTCGAACCAAAGCCTTCCAAGGGATCTCATATATAAACGGCCGAACAACTGCCGTCAGTCAGTCGAGCTGCGAGTGTCGTCAAATTAGTGTTTCTTCAGTTCAAATAAATTAGTTCGAAAATATATATAGATAGTGTCGTGTTCGCTTCTGAACCCGAATAACGTAACAATATATATAAAGAAATACATTGAGAATTCGCATTCTCTATATGATGAAAATATCAATTCTTTCTCGGTTTATTCAACAGGAAACAGCCACTTTCTTGGATATATGCCACGACGAACATTGAATTATATCTATTGAACACACACGATTTGAAAACAAAATCTTCTGAAGTTGGAATTTGTATTCTCCTTCAGATAAAAAAATGTGTGCACATAATATCCTTCTGAATATTTAACAGGAAACAACTTCTTTCCTGGCTATTTGCCACGTCGAACGTTGAATTATATCTGTTAGATATCCAAAAAGAGAGCATGAAAAATCAAAATCCTATGAAATGGAGAATTCATATTCTGCCTCAAATCGGATAAATAATATGATGTATTATGATATGAAAATATAACTTATCGATATGTTCAGTATTGAAATGAAAATTGAAATGTATAGGAGAAGTATACTTGTATAAACTTTGATATTGATGAGCTCGAAAATTAAAAAAAAATCATTCTGATATGGGAATTATATCTCTTACAAACAGGTTGTATGACTTTATTCCAATGAACTCATTTCGGATTTCAAACCCTCCTCAGTAACCTGAAGTCCAGTTATTCTTTCACCCATTTTTTATGATATGCACAATTTTCAACTCTCTATAATAAAACTAAAACTATAACGAACTGAATCTGAAGGTCAACAAATAATTTTCATAAAAAATAATTTTATATTTGCTAATTGTGAATACTTATGGCAGCGTTTTCTCAACTATAGCTCTAAAGAGCTGACGGACGATATTCTGAAAAAAATAAAAAAAAGCTAATTTTGATTGAATCTGAGTGGCTTGCAAGTTCTTTCTACCCGCTCATTTATTAGATATTTACGATACGAGTATCGTAAAGACTCATATAACGATAGGAGATGGGAAATTTGTGATAACCCATCGAAAAATATTCAATATTCCTTGAACTGCCGATTCATTAGAAATATGTAACAAGCAAGCGTTGCAAGGGTTGGTTGAAATTATATTTTTCTCACTTTGCCGCACTAGTGCAGTGTAGTATTTCATTACGATACTAAAATCAGTGTCGTAATGTTTCACATTACATATTGGTAGTAGGTAAAATTCCTTAATAGTTTTCGAACCCTTAAAATCCTACTTAAGCATACCCTCACAAATTTATATACATATCACACATTATTGCTCAAATCAGAATTGCTGGCAAAAATACGTTTAAGTTCTCGTTTGTAGGTTCCTTTTACCAAATTGACACTACAGAGATGTGTTGAAAATGCATCTTACAAGTAACCGAGTCTTTGCTGGAATGTCCTATCTACTCAGGCATAATGCAAAATGCGATTCTCTCCGAAATCGGCGATATTCATGGTCTAGAACATATCTACTCAACTGTGAGAGTATTTTACACTTAACAAATCTTGTGAAATCCCTGTTGAATATTATGAAATTACGATCGTTCATTATGAACGAATGTTGAAAATGTGACTATTAGGTATATTCTTAGGAACTTGTATATCTCTGTAATGTGTAATGTACCTACATTATTGACCAAGGGAAAGCTTTCGTGACTGTCCTGTCGGTTATATTCTCGGGAATATTCGTGAAAACCAGTCGAATGTGACCAATAAATAGTTAGATTTCTTCGTTTTTGTCGAGCTTCCGGCAATTTTCATTTTCTTTATCAAGACTAACTGAAAACATCATGAATGAACAATAATGTTAATATATAAATGTACATCAATGAAACTGGTATAAGTACTTACTAATATGAAATTCTATATATATGATATATAAAATGTGAGATATAATATGTTATTGTTGATTGTATATAAAGTATGGATCATTCAAGCAGGACGAGTTACTTTAATATCTTTCAGTTATTTCAAAAGGAATGTATATATGGTACTAAGATGTGAGATGTTTCTTTTTTGTGCTGATTTTATATAGTATACCAATTTCATTGATGTATATTCATACAGGGTGTATCTATATAAATAACACCAAAAATGTTCAAGGGATGATTCCTTGTGATATTTTAGGAAATGAAGTTCATATAAACAAATGTCCTGATTTGCTTCGTTTTCGAGATACATGGTATTGATATTTCCATGAAAAATCACTTTTCTATTCAATTCTCAATTGTCTTTTCATCTATTTCAATAAAACGTTGTGGTCTTGTTAATAGTAATATAAAGCTCGCTTCTTCTAGTGTAATTAGATTCGGAATAATATTTCCAGTGGCGTCACAGTGGGTAAATTTATCAATATTCATTGTACACCACCGGTTCTTCTGAGTTTCATATTTTTATTATTGAAATAACAACTTTTTTATCGTTTGTGTGATTTTCGTATCTAGCTTCGTTTTTGAGGAAACAATAAAAATCCGAGTTGAATCCAAATTTTAATGTAGGTGTCAGTCTCCACCCATACTGAATTTTGGCACCATGGAAGCTTATACAGGGGGTTATAAATAAAAACAAATACTACTTCAACTTCAACATCCTGTATCTCAAAAACGGAGCAAGTTAAGACACATGTTTATGTGAACTTCATTTGCTAGAATATCACAAGGAAACTCCCCTTGATTTTTTTCAGTGGTATTCAGATACACCCTGTATATCAACATTATTTTTCATCCGATGTTGGTAAGGAAAATGAACATTTTTGAATGCTCGACAAAAAACTAAGAGATCTAACTGATTTATTGGTCACCTTCGACTGCTTCCCACGAATATTCTCAAGAATATACACCCTGTATCTTATTCAAGCGTTCTGTGACTGAATCTATGCTGAAACGAAAGTATTTCCTCTAGCCTCTAGTTTTTTAATATGGGTTATTAACGGTATACCCATATCGTTGGTAAATAAAATGTTCAGTCAGTTATGAATTATATTATGGAAAACTTACCTTTCTCTATATGAAAAGACACAGCTGTTTTATTTTTGACGCGTCTTGGTTTGCCAAAAGTTTAATTTAGAATTGACTAAGCCGATAAAAGACAATCACAACTAAGTTTCAAACGTCTAATACAATTTTTACCAATACTTAGTAATTATAAATCTTTCGAGGTTACCGATATGCCAATTATCATTGTTTAGTTTATCGAAAAACATAATATAATACTTTGCAATACGTACCTAGACATTTTAACAGATTTATGTTGTCTTGCGAGACAATTCCTAATGGAAAATACTGGTTAAAAACTTTTTCACAAATACGTCATGTTATCGAATTTTTGATTTTCCTATAATTATTGTATCTAATTAACTGTGTCTATGTGTATTGTAATATCGATAATTATAACGAGACTGTTTGACGTTTGTACTGAAGCGATAGGTACAGGAAGATCCTCAATTTAGTGGTCACATGTTGTATAAATCAATTAATATACGATGAGTTGAGCATTGAGTGCAAATAATCAGTGAACTATTTTACAAATAATGGATATAAAGGAATATATTTTAATCTTGGAATATACGTATTGAATTGACAATGTGAGCTGAGAACGTTGAATACTATATAACGTTTGAGATTCGTTATTTTCACAAATTCATGAATTCGACTTACATTTCGCCGACACTCGCTCGGATTTCACAATTTCATAATCCTTTTCGGAAAGAGAAATGTTTTATACATTACAAATAAAGAAAAAAGTCAGGTATATTGCAAATTCGGCTTCATATTGAATATCATTTATGTTTGCTTCGGATACTTTATGGCTATCCCTGGGATATTTTTTATAGGTATTATTTTTCAAATCCATCCGATCCATCGATGAATATTTTTTTTTTATGTTCTAGTTCCCACGAAAAGGGATTTCCTGTAATGTTCAGAGAACATCGTGAGAACCAAGGGAAATAAGGTAGGAATTGGTGTTCTTCTTGAATTTCTGGATGTTATATGCCTCGGGGAACACCTCCCTTGGCAATGTGTTCCAGAGCCTCGCTGTTCGTTGGATGAACGAGTCTTTGGAAAGAGATGTTTTGTAGGTCTCCAAAAAATAATATGTAGTCATGATACGAGCGCTTTCCATTGAATATCTCTCATCTCATGAATATCCTTCTGAAGCTCAGGAACTTTATAATATATGATTTCGAAAACCTTCGGTAGAAGGTGACAAAAATCAATGACAGCATTGATCGCCCCAATTTCGGAAACATCCTGTATAGTTGAGAACGAAGTCGACCTAACTCATCGAGAAATACTAGGTCAACTATTTCAAGAATTTTCGAGATTTCTTGGAATCAAGACAAGAAATGAAGTACCAAGAAATGGCCAAGGCAAGAAATTATCAATTTCTTGAAACATTTCTGAAGACATGACAAGAAATATCCATCAAGACAAGAATTCTTGTCTAAAATTGACTGTTTCACCCCCCCATGATATTTAACTTAGGACCGCCCTTATTGTAGCCATCAGTCAGCAAAGTTGACATTTTGATTCTAGAGTACCACTAAAAGTACGAGAATACTGTCTTTCATTAATTTCTTGATCATTATATTGCATAATAGTGCATAAAATAGTATATGAACCACGTGACCAAATTCCTTTTTAATCCCGATGCGGAATATTTGTAGCCCGACTGGGTTTCCAATTTACTAGTATTGCAGGACTCTCATTACACATTTTTATCTTCTCATTGAATCGAAAGTAGGCGTTTGCTTACTCATTAAAGCTGTTCATTTACTCCCACGAGGAAGAAATTACTTCCCGTGCTGGGAGGTAAAATAAATTGGCATCGCGCATCGCCATGACGCCATGTCTACTATTATAGACCAAGAATAACAATTCACTCTTTGAATAGTCCTTCTCATATAGATATATTTTCAGGACGCATGCGCTTGTTTTCAGATCCAATATTTGATTGGGTAATGCGAAGGTGAAGTCTCATCGGCTATTGGCAAGGTGATCGACCGTTGGGGGCGCTGTTTCAAAACAAGATGGCGGCAAAGAGTGTGTAGTTTGTTTACAAAATTTCTTGAAATTTGCATATATTTTCTTCTTGATATTTCAGCGTGTTATTTTTCCATTGGAACCTTCAGTTGATTTCGCGTATTATCAGAGATTTGTTGATACTAATTTATAAAATAATATAGAATTCATTAGGCAATTGATATAAAGTTCATGTCTTGTACTCAAGAGAAGCAAGAAGAGAAAATTAACGTAATTTGTTGAATGGTATTCATAAAATATGAAACCCACTGAACACAATAACAAACATGACCTTGAGTTACGTCCTAAACTGGTTTCAATTTGCCCACCAGGTGCCGTATCGGAATCGTCACCTTGCCGTTCCGACACAAAATTCTGATTGGCCATTTCGAATATTGCGGTTTTTATTGACGTTATTGACGGTCTGTCAAATATCAACAGTGTCAAACACGTTACTTATTCGTAACTAAAAGGAAAGTGGTGCAAGTGTTTCGGTGAAAATGGCCGCCACCGTCGTTGGATGCGAGATGTAAACACGGATAGTCATTTTTCAACTAAATGAAAAGGCCTATTCCAATGATCTCATTCACTTCCTCATATTTCGAACTTACTTGATCAAAACTTTCTTTCAAATGTAATAAATACACAATTGACAAATACATAATTACCATAAGTGTCAAATTCAGTATTCAGTTCCAAATAACGTCAATTGTCCATGGCATGCTGAACCTTACTTGTAACACACATGTTGATTTTGATCGAAAGATAGACTGTCAGAAACAAAATTTCAAGAATGACTTTCAGATATATGAGTTCGTGAATAGGATCATAAATATAAAGGTATGTCACGACGAGCTTACACTATCTTTATATCGAGAATCAGTCGGGAGAAATCCATGAAAGTGTGCATGCTGATATTGTAGAATACGCTCCTCATTTAAAATATTTTAGAGAATGCAGTGTTGCCGCTTCTTATAGAAAGTAGTTGCAACATTGATATTTTAAATGGTACACCCTGTATATTCTATCACATTTTGAGATTCTCCCTGAAGAGCTGATTTCATCACTTGGGGTTTATCCAAAAAGATTTCAGAGATATAAAAGATGTTCAAGATCAAGATTTTTCAACTTCAGGATTTTTTTGTGTCGAAACAATTCATTATGTATCGGCAAAAACGGCTCACATGTCCCAATCTCAACTTTTGATTCACTATTTACTGATATTCAATCGGTACAGATACAGGGTGGTTAAAAATTCAGAATTCTGATCACCCTGTATCTGATCCGATTGAATATCAGTAAATGGTAAATCAAAAGTTGAGATAGGGACATGTGAGCCGTTCTGGCCGATAGTGAATCATTTCCGATAGACCTCAAGTGTGATGTATCGATGAAGACAACTCTTCAGGGAGAATCTAAAAATGCAATAAAATACAGGGTATTCTATTTGAAATAACAAAGTTGTTTCTATTTTTTGATAGAAGCGACAACACTGCATTGCTGAAAATATCTTAAATGAAGAGAGCGTATTCTGAAATATGAACACGCATATTTTCATGGATTTCTCCCGACTAGTTCTCGATATAGAGATAGTGTATGCTTGTCGTGAGATACCCTGTATAGCTATGCCATAGAAGCAAAGCTTCATTTCCTTCCATGTATGTGTTAATTGTCCATAAAACTTCACACGCGAGAGAAATAGATACGTTTGCTCTCTTGATATACAGGGCGAAATTCGACCGACAACGCCTGACAGGTGATATCCCTCGTGATTTCATTATCACTGAGATAGGGACATACGGTCTTCAAGTGTTCAGTTCTCGAGATACAGGGCGTTAAAGTTAAGAAATAAAAACAGTTGTTTCGCAATATCTCAAGAAAAATTGATTATAATGCATTCAACTTCGGTATATGGTTTCATCTTTGAATGGGTAATTTTTTGACCAGGAAGCCATACCGGACATTTTATCCAGCGATGCCCTACAGGGGGGTGTGACAACTTTTCCTCCCATTTTTTCTACGCCACTGATTAAATTTCAATTTTTTTCAAAAAATGCATCACCTTCGACTGAGCTGAAATGAACAGTTTTCGAGATATTCGACCCAAAATAGAAGATTGCATAGTAATATTTCACCATTTTCAGTAGTAGAAAATTGCAAAAATATTTTTCTGGTGTTGAGTAGATTAGATACTATTCAGATCCCATTCTGTAGTTGAACAGAAACGGTTATTGCACGCATAAAGGGAAAACAAACATTTTTGCAATTTTCTACTACTGAGGAAGATGAAAAATTACTATGCAAACTTCTATTTTGAGTCGAATATTTCGATAACTGTTGATTTTAGCTCAGTTGAAGGTGATGCATTTTTTCAACATTATTGAACAATAAATTCGAGAAATTGAAAATAATCGAAATTTCATGAGTGGTGTAGAAAATATGGGAGGAAAAGTTTTCACAACCTCCTGTAGCGCACCTCTGGATAAAATTTTCGGAATGTCTTCCTGGTCAAAAAATGAACCATTGAAAGATGAAACCATATACCGAATTTGAATGCATTATATCCAATTTTTCTCGAGATATTGCGGAAAAACTATTTTAATTTCTCAACTTCAACGCCCTGTATCTCGAGAACTGAACACTTGAAGACCGTATGTCCCTATCTCAGTGATGATGAAATCACGAGGGCTATCACCTGTCAAGCCTTGTCGGTCGGATTTCGCAACACCCTGAATAAATAGTTACTTTTTTCTTCCCGTGGTATGAATTGACAGCTTTGCTCCCTGAGACAATCCTGTATACTTTAGATCCAGTGTTTCCATATATAAAATTTATCACCTATTTATTGAAAACCAAAAACAACAATACATTCCTGATGCTAAACTTATTGGTTTAACAATGAATCACAAGAATAACATCGACACAGATTTGACTCAGAACATGGATTACACAGTTTTGTTGTATCTTGAGCAGAAAGTCTATGCTACATGGGTAAAATCACGTCAAGAGTTGTTAGACATTATTGAACATCACTCAAATGACCTAACAGCTGATCCTCAACTGGTTTGAAGAATAATACATTCTTAAGAAAAGAATATAGAATCG